ACACACACACACACACACACACACACACACATACACATGCCTGGCATGAATTTATGCTACTGGGTCTGGGACTTGAACCATGGTCGACTACATGGGAGTCCAGTGACACAGCCATTACTCTAACTACTGGTCTCAATACCAAGTTTTTCCACCACTAGTTACTAAAGAGGTTTTCCTTTTCCCAATGGATTGACTGATATCCTTTTTCAAAACTCTGTTGACTGAACGCTTTGGGGTTTATTTCTGGGGGCTCTATTCTATTCCATTGGTCTACCTGTCTGTTTTTATGCCAATACCATGCTATTTTGATCATCACAACTTTAGAGTAAATCTTGAGTTTAGGGAGTTCTGTGCCACCCACTCCACTCTTCTTCCACAGGATTGCTTTGGTGATACGAGGTCTTACATGATTACAGACAAATTCTATGATTGTTTTTTCTCTAGATCTGTAAAGAATATCTTTGGTATTCTAATTGGAATTGCGTTAAATATGTAGATTAATTTGGGTAGAATTGCCAATTTGATTATGTTAATTCTTTCAATCCAGGAACATGGGATGTCCTTCCACTTTTGTATATCTTTTTCAATATCTTTTGAAAGGTTTTCATAGTTTTCTTTGTAAAGACGCTTGAATTCCTTAGTTAGGTTTACCCCTAGGTATCTTATGCATTTTTTTTTTGTCTACAGTTAAAGGGATTCCTTTCTTCAGCTCTACTTTGTTCAACTTGTTGTTCATATATAGAAATGCTATAGATTTCTGGATGTTGATTTTGTATCCTGCCACTTTATTGTATTAATTTATTACTTCGAGAAGTTTTCTCATGGAAACCTTTGGGTTTTCTAAATACACCATCATGTTATCTGTGAATAAAGATATTTTTAACTTTCTTTGCCTATTTGAATACCGTTTGTATTTTTCTCTTTTTGACTGCATTAGCTAAGACTTCCAGCACTATATTAAGAATAGTGGAGAAAAAAAGAAAAAAGAAAAAAAAAAAGAACAGTGGAGAAAGGGGTCAGCCTTGTCTAGTAACAGTTTTGACTTGAAAAGCTTTTAGCTTTTCCCCATTCAGTATAATATTAGCTATAGGCTTTTTCATATGTAGCTTTTATTGTGTTGAGAAATGATCTGTCTATACTAATCTTACTGAGAATCTTAATCTTGAAAGGATCTCATATTTTGTCAAATGCTTTCTCTGCATCAATTGAAATGATCATATGGTTTTTATCTTTCTTTCTGTTAATATCTTCTTGAGAATTTTTGCATCTATATTCATCAGTGATATTGATCTCTAGTTTTCATTTTTTGTCATGTCCTTATCTGTTTTGGGAATGAGGATGATTGAAGTTTCATAAAATGAATTTGGAAGGTTTCTTTTTTTTTTTTTTTTTGAATCTTTAGAAATAGTTTGAGTAGGACAGCGATGAACTCTTCCTTAAATGTTTTGTAGAATTCAGAAGTGAAGCCATCTGGACCTGGGCTTTTCTTTGTCGGGAGATTATTTATTACTGATTAAATCTCATGGAGTGTTATGGTTCTATTCAGGTTTTCTATGTCCTCCTTATTCAATTTTGGTAGATTATATGTATCCAGGAATTTGTCCATCTACTCCTTGTTCTCTTGTTTGTTGGCAAATAGTCACTCATAGTATCTTCTAATGAAATTTTTTATTTCTGTTATGTCTATTGTAATGTTCCTTGTTTTATCATGTATTTGATTTATCTGGTTTCTTTCTTTCTTCTTCTTTACTAGTCTAGCTAACAATGTGCCGATCTTGTTAATCTTTTCAAAGAACCAGCTTTTGCTTTAATTTATTTTCTGAATGGTTCATTTGTTTTTTATTTTATTTATTTCTGATCAAATCTTTATTATTTCTTTTTGCCTGGCATTTTTTTCTCTAATTCCCTGAGGCATGATGTGCGGTTATCTACTTGCCACCTTTCCATCTTTTTCTTATGTGCACTAATTGCTATGGATTTTTCTTTTATGACTGCTTTTGTCATGTCCCATAGATTATGGAAACTTGTGTACTCATTATCATTCGCTTCCATAAATTTTTTGATTTCAGACATAATTTCTTCAGTAATTAAGAAGTCATTCAGAAGTAGGTTGTTCAATTTCCATGAGTTTGTGTATTTTTGAGGGTGTTTCTTGAAATTAACATTGAGTTTAATTCCTTCATGGTCAGAGAAGATGCTGGATACAGTTTGTATGCCTTTGAATCTGTAAAGGCTTGATTTGTGTCCTAACATATGGTCAATCTTTGAAAAGCTTCCATGCCTGGGTGAGAAAAAGGTATATGTTGTGGACTCACGGTGGAAAGTTATACCAATATCTATCAATCCCATTTGATAGTATAATTTAGGTCCTGTATCTCTCTGCTTATTTTCGATCTAGCAGATCTGTCTAAAGGAGATAATGAGGTGTTGACATCCCCCCAAATTATATTGTTGTTTCCTATCTCTCCCTTTAGCTCCAGCGGTCTTTCCTTCACATATTTAGATGCTTCTGTGTTGGGTACATACATATTAATAAGTGTTACGTCTTCTTGCTAAATTAACCTGTTTACTATTATATAATGCTATTCTTTGTCTCTTCTTAAAGTCTTAGTCTTGAAGCCTATTTTGTCTGAAATCAATATTGCAATACCAGTCCTTTTTTGATTTCCACTTGCATGGAATATCTTTTTCCAGCCCTTCACTTTTAGTTTATGTATGTCTTTATCCATGAGGTACATTTCTTGTAGGCAACAGATAGAGGGTTTCTGTTTTACTATTTATTCAGCCAGTCTGTGTCTCTTAATTGGAAAATTTAATCCATAAACGTTCAACGTTATTATCGATATTTCCAGACCTGTTCACATCATTAAGTGAGACATTTTATTGTTTTTTTGTTTGTTTGTTTGTTTGTTGTTGTTGTTCTCTTATAACTGTCCACCTGATTTTTTAGTTTTCCGGGTATAGAACTCCCTACAGAACCTCTTGGAGAGCTGGTCTGGAGTTGGTAAACTCTTTCAGGTTTTGTTTATTTAAGAATGTTTTCTATCTTTTCTTCCCATATAAAAGATAATCTTGTGAAAGATGCCCACTGGTTTTATGACACCCCAGAATTACAAAAGAAAACTATATTTTAAGTCTTCTAACAGAAAAAAAAGTGAATATTGTTTTGCCAACACATTCCATTGTTCCAAGAACTTTTGTGCTTAAGCCAGGGATGGTCCTGTTTTTGGGTGCTATAGGCCCTATAGATTTCCTCCAGGGAGATCAGTTGGCTTGGTTTACAGCGCGCTCCCCGTGCACGTTACCTCCTTGGACAGGGAGGATGATGTGTATCAAAAGCACGCAGGACACACGATACTCCAGGTTCCAATAGGTGGAGAAGAGCGAATGGCAGAATTTCCCCCTCTGGTTGCTGAAGACATTAAGCTAAAAGAAGGCCTTGGGGACTATGAAGCCGTGGCCGGCATCAAATTTTCCTCAGCAAGTTGGGTTGCGGTGACACCTCGTTTCAAGGACAGACTGCGGGGCGAGGCCACACACCTCAGGGAACGGTGCTGACAGTCCCGCCTCCGCTCTTGCTGCACATTGTTAACGTCAAAGGAGAGCGCATCAGGGGAAGCGTGGCCTTTAAACCCAAGAAGCCCCCTTCCCTTGTGTACAACCTGCAGAAGAAGAAACAGACAAACATGTGAGGCCGACCTCGGTCCACTGGATATTAACTGTATCGGACATAACAATACACATTGAAACTTTATTAAATATAGTAAAGTCCCCCCCCCCCAAAAAATAAAAAAAAGAAAGATAATCTTGCCAGGTATAGTACTCTTGGTTGAAATTGTTTTTCATTCAACACTTTGACTATATTGCCCCAATCTTTTCTTGCCTGCATCATTTCTGATGAGAGGTCCGATGTTAGTCTGATGGTGTGACCTTTGTAAGTAACTTGACCTTTCCCTCTTGCCAACTTTAGTATCTTGTCTTTGTCAGTCGTCTTTGCCAATCTGGCTATGATGTGCCTTGGAGAGGACCTTCTTGGGTTGATTCTATCTGGGGTCTTATGTATTTCTTGAGTCTGGATATTTGAGTGCCTTTCTAGGTTTGAAAAGTTTTCTTCCAGGTTTTCATGGGATAGATTATCAATGCTCTTATTATTTTCTTCCTCTTCTGAGGTAATAATTATCCAATGTTGGATTGCTTGATGGTATCCAGTATTCCTCATATATTATCATCATTTTTCTTGGTGGTTTTCTCAATCTTGAGACTTTTTTTCTAGGTCAAATGTTTTGTCTTCTGCATTTGAGATTCGATCTTCTGTGTGATCTGATCTACTTTTAGTACTTTTGAGGGAGGTTTTTGTTTCCTGTATCACATTCTTTATCCCTAACAGTTCCATCTGATTCTTTTTTAAGGTGTTTTTATTTTTTCAAATCATGAAAGGACTTTCTTATCTCCTAGAGCTCATTGTCTCTTTTCTCTTGTATCTCAGTTAGTAGTTCGGTCACTACAAATATTCTGAATTGCTTATCCAACATGTCCACGACATCCATTGTGTTGTCTGTGGGTGATGTGGGATTGACATTTTCCTTTGGCGGAGAGACATTTTGTTGGTTGCTCATATTTCTTGTGCTTCTGTGATTGTTCCTAGTCATCTGGTGACCTATACGTTTCTTACTAACTTATTCAAGGTACCTTTGAGTGTTCAAAGGTGTGCAGGAGTAGAAAATTAGCAATCTCTCTTCTGGTCTTTCTCCCTGTTGCTCAACAGTATTCTGCACTGTTGTCACAGATCCTGGGAGAACCAAAATTCTTTCTATATCTAAAAAGTGGTGAGCCTCCAACTGCACTAATAAGCGTCACCTCAGGAGCAAAGAAAATACAACGTGCCATGCGCTTTTCAAAACACAAAGTTCTGAGAGTTCCAAGGTGAGTGGCAGTTGGTGAGATGAGCCACGGAGCCGTGGTCCTGGCCATTAGGGTCTGCATCCACAGGCAGTCTGGTGTCCAGCAACAATGCTAGCCTGAACGGTCTCTTGATGGGGTGGGGAGGGGCACAAGTTCATCTTAAAGTACAAAGACACAAACCTGAGATTGCAAGGCAAGTGAGGGGTGGGAAGGATGATGAGCCATGGGTCCCAGCCATTAGGGGCTGCAGTCACAGGTAGTCTGGTGTCTGGCAATGCTGGTTGCTTGAATGGTGTCTGGATCTTATCCATCTATTGAGATGGTTCTTGTTTTTTATTCTATTGATGTGGAGCATTACATTGACATTAGAATGTTAAACAAACCTGGATTTCAAGAACAAATCTTATTTGGTTATGGTATATAACCCTATTTATTTGCTGTTGAAACTGGTTTACAATTAAGAGATATTGATCTATAGCTTTCTCTTGTGATATCTTTATTAGGGGAATACCAGTTTTAAAGAATGAACTGAAACCTGTTATCCTTTCTTTCCTTTCTATTTTGAAAGAAGAGTTTTTATTAATTTTTCGCTACTGTTTGAAAGAATTAACCAGTAAATCCATGGCTTGGGTATTTCATTGTGTCCGGTCTGTTGTTGCTGCTGTTTTTGCTTTTATTACAAAATCAATCTCTTTACTTGTTATGTGTCTTAAAAATCCATTGTGGGGGCTGGCAAGTGGCATGGTGGTTAAAGGCGCTGGACTCCCACATGGCTGACCACAGTTCAAATCTCGGACCTGGTGGCTTGCTTTCTCACTTCCTCTCTCTCTCTCTCTGTCTCTCTCTGATCAAACTGGAAAATAATAATGATAATAGTAATGAATAAAGTAAAATAAAATAATTTTTCAAAAAAATCCATTGTGGAATTTTGTATATTTTTCTAGGAATTTGTCCTCTTCATCTAAGTTGTCTAATTTATTGGCATGCAAATATTCACAGTATTCCTTTGTAAGGATACTTTGTATTTATGTAAAGTTGGTAGTAATGTTCCCTCTTTCTGATTTTGGTGATTTGAAAACTACTCTTTTTTTTCTTTTCTTGGTCAATTTAGCTAAAGGTTTGTAAATTTGTTGATCTTTTTGAAGAACCAGGTTTTGTTTTTGTTAACTTTCTCTAGTGATTTTCTATTCTCTGGCTCAATAGTTTTTTTTTATTTCTTTTTTTTTATACATTCAATTACCTTTTTTAGCGTATGAAGTGAATATTTCAACATATGAACATTTCTCCCTAGTCCAGTTGATTAAACTATAAAATATCTTCACCAGATAATACCACATTCCTCTGTCTCATTAATGCTTTGCCTTCGTATTTTTCTTCTAAAAGTCCTTCTTCAGGCCCTACTCTTCCACACACATTATATCTGGTATTTACACCCATTTATTGTGTTTGTTTATCCTTTGGTCAATTATTTTCAGTCATAGAGGGCAGACACTCGGTATATATTAAGTGCAGACATACAATGTCTCTCCTTCATAGCCTGGCTTGCTTCACTCAGCACTAAATCTTCCATATTCTTCCACTTTCTGTCAAAAACCAGGGTTTTGTTGTTCTTTATGGCTGAATAGTGTTCCATAGTGTATATGTGCCAAAGTTTTTCAATCCATTCATCTGTTCATGGGCATTTGGGTTGGTGCCATGTCTTAGCAATTGTGAATAGTGCAGCAATAAACATTGATGTGCAAGCACTTTTCTGATGAAGAATTCTTTTGTCTTTTGGATAGAGATCAAGGTGTGGGATTGCTGGATCATATGGTAGTTCTATTTGTAGATTTTTGAGGAATCTCTAAATTGTTCTTCACAGTGGCTGGATTAATTTACATTCACACCAGCAGTGTAAGAGAGTTGCCCTTTCACCACATCCCCGCCAACACTCAATAAATTTTGCTATTACTTTTATTATTTCCTTCTTTATGTTTCTTTTAGGTTTAGTTTACTTCTCTTTTTTTAGTGCATTAAAGTAGAGCATTATTTTTTAACTTCTCTTTTCAACTTTGGCATTGATAGTTATCAATTTCCATTTGAACACTGCTTAGTTGCCTCTCGTAAGTTTTGGTATGCTGTGTTACCCTTTTTTGTTATTTTCTTAAAATTTCCTCATTTTCCTTGCACTTTTTTTTTTTTTAACTCATTGTTATTTTGGAGTGTGTGATTTAATTTCCACTTATTTGTGAGTTCCCCAAACTTCTTTCCAATTTTATTCCATTGTGGTCAGGGAATATACTTTGCATGATTTCAACCCTTTTAAATATGTTGGAGTTTGTTTTATGGGCAAAGATATGGCCTTGCCTTATCCTATCTGTTGGTGTCCATCTGTATGTCCATGGGTGGGTTCAGGGCTGCTGTCATGGTGCCCTTTCATAGTTTTCCTCCAAGTCTCTTCCTCACTTAGCCCAGAACGCCTGGTCTGGGAGGAAGGTGGGAAACAGCCCTGCATTTACTTCTTCTTTTTTTTTTTTTGGAGAGGTTTTTGCCATAGGGCGTGTGCCCTTGCCAGAACAGAGAGAGACAGAGAGACAGAATGAGAAATCACCCCCCCCCCAGAGGGGATGGCCACGCCACAATCCCTTCTCCTCCATTCTCCTCTCGGGATGTTGGGCACGCACACACACACGCCCAGCATGAGGTTTTTAAGCCACCGGGTCTGGGACTCAAACCGTGGTCAACCACATGGGAATCCTGTGACATAGCCATTATGCTAACTGCTGGTCCTGCCTGCATTTACTTCTGATATAGAGACAGGTGATTCAGGCCATTGAGTACCTTCCAATCTCCAAGAGCTGAAGCCTCCTATATTCTGCTCTGTTACACCTGCTGATATGGGAGCTTAGTTACTGTCTGCTGTGAGAGAGCAGCGATGGGGCCAACTCCCCACTGTCTCCTACTGTTTCCTTCTCTAGCCTGTGTCACCTCTGTCTTTGGGCTCTCAGTGGTCTCCACTGATGTGACTTCCCCATCAACTCAAGTCTTCCCATCCACATGACCCACTTAGGGTATCTTCTCCTAACTCCAAACGTAGCCTGCACTTTCTCCTCAGGCTTTGATGTGCTTCCTGCTAGATCTCCAATATCAGTCATTGCTCCAAGTTGTCCAAGTGCCACTGTCCCCCAAATCCACCCTTGTTTATGGTGCTTTCTGCAGGAAGAGATGTACCTTCATTTTCTGAACTCACAGATGCCCTCCCAAGAGAACATTTTAGTTTCTTATTTTCATCATGTATTTAACTGCCCCATGGACCAGAGAAGTTCATTTGCTTATCTTGTTTCCCACAGTCTGAAAACAGGGTCCCCTCACAAGGTGTACTTTATTGACAGTTGTTGGATGAATCAGCATCCTGTTGAGTCTTTCTGGTGGTCTTCCCTGACACTTAAAATACCCATAGAAGAGAATATTGCAAAGCTTTGACAGTCCTCAAAGTGCTAATTAATTCCACAGCTGTGGCAGGTGCCCACCAGATTCTTACTACCCACTTAGCTCAGCTATTAGGCCTATATGCTACAAATTATAGATACTTGTTGACCATGAGATCATCTTAAATCAGTGTTGCAGAGATCTTTGATGACAAATTATCTCTATAAGCCAACATAATCCCTTTAGGA